GGGCGGGCCCCGCCCCCGAGAGCCTCGCCGCGATTGGCCGCAGCCCCCGCTAGGCTCCGCCCCCAAGGCTGGGGCGTGCTCTTCTCAAACCTGAATACTCTCTCGGGATCTGGCATCTTGAGACTCCACCCCTGAGCCCGGCCCTACTCCGGATTGGCCAAGGTCTTGACAGGCCACGCCCCCAGTGGGCCCGGTCCTCCGGAAGGGCACCGCGCCTTGGCTCTTGAAACGGAGTGGGTTACACCTTCGAGATAGGCCCCGCCCCACTTAGACACTAAGACCAGGATTGGTCCGTATCTCGCGGAACAACAAGCCTGACCACGCCTCCCAAGCCGACTGTCTTTCGGGGGCTGTCCTAGGAATGGCCACGCCCCTTAGACGCTTGTGCAGCCTCGGGATTGGTCAAGTTCCTTTCCGTTTATTCCTCTGGTTCTGGCCACGCCCCCAAGCCAAGATCCTACGAACTTTCACCCGCCCAGGGCTTGGAAAAGCCACAGGTTGGACACAGAACACGTCCCGCTAAAATTCTACCACTATGATTGGGCACGTTCCCGTTAAGCCCCGCCCCCGATTTTGACCACGCCCCCAAATAGTAGCACGGGGCTCAGACCCCAGCTTGGTTACTGGCCACTGGACACGGCCCCCTCCCACATACGTATTCTGGCACTGAGCGGCCACATCCTCACCATGCTCCGCCCTATAAGGACATCTCGCTCCCATTCAGTGGAGTCCCGCCCCGCACCCTAGTCTGCGCCTGTGGGGTAGGGCTAGCACCCGTCACGGTCCCGCCCCTAGATTAGGCCTCACCTCCGGTAGTCAAAGCATTCCCAACCTAGGATCTCCTGAGCTGGGTCTAGCGAAACCTTCCTTCGCTGAACGCGCTCGGACTCAGTTTCCCCTTCCCAGCATCGGCTTTGAGAGGGTGAACGCGCGCTTCCCTTCCGGCAGGCCCGCTCATGGCGCATGCGCGCGACCTGTGTCCGTGTCCGCGGCGTCAATAAAGTTGCGGGCTTGTTGCCGGCCGTTCCGCCGCGGGAGCTGCGCGCGCCGCCCAGGAAGTCTCGCGAGAGCCGGCGGCGGCCGTCCTTGAGCGTGCCGAGCCGGCGGGGTCTGCGGTGCCGCGTCGCGGGTTCGCTGCCATGGCGCGGAGGCTCATTGAGTGGTACTGGGAAATCCCCGACGGCACCGAGTGCCACCGCAAAGCCTACGCCAGCACCAGCATCAGCGGCTTCATCGGTGAGCGCCGCCGGGCCCCGAGGGCGGAAGGCGCGGGGAGGTCGTAGGGTCATTGGGGGCCGTCTCGGGGGCCCATCGGGGGCCGGAGTTCTCGCGGGTCGCCCGGGGTCGTCATCGGGGTGTCCGAGGCGGCCAGAGGGGGGGCTCTTGGCCTTGTGGGGAGTCCGACGGGGCCGGGGACCCCGGGAGGTCGTGGTTCGCGTGACCTGCTGGTCACTGGGGTCGTCGGAGACGGACCCTGGATGCTGGAGTTTGAGGGGCGTGAATGGGGTGGTTGGTGAAGCGGTCGCCAGGGGTCTTAGGAGCTAGGGGGCCGTGACTTTCCAACGGGGTAACTTTGGGATTATTCGAGGGGGTCACGGGTCATGGTTGGGGCATGGGGGCGTTGCAGAGTTTGAGAGCATTCTGGGGTGGGATGAGGTCGTTCCAGGGTCAAGGGGTGCCAGGTGGCCAGGGACACCTGAAACTTCGATTGGGGTCACCAGAGGGGCCCTAGGTGAGTTTTGTCGACAGCTCCTATGAGGGTAGCCTTGGGAGGCTGAGGGGTCCCAAAGCCCTGGCCATCCCCCTTAGGGGATACCCGGGGAGCCTAAGGTTTCACAGGCATCGTGTCTTGTCATTTCCAGCTCCAGATTGGGACTCATAGGTCCCTTGGGATTAAGAATCCTTAGCCGGTCGCGGTGGCGTGCATATATAGTTCCAGCAGCTCGAAAGGCTGAGGCGGAAGGATCGCCAGAGCCCAGCAGGTCGAGGCTGCGGTGACCGTGAGCAGGCCACTGCACTCCAGCGTGGGCGACAAACAGTGAAACTCCAACTCAGAAAAAAAAAAAAAAGAATCTTGTGTTTTTTAATAGAGACAGAGTTATGTTGCCCAGGCTGGTCTTGAACTCCTGGACTCAAGCAGTCCTCCCGCCTCGGCCTTCCAAAGCACTGGGATTATAGGCGTGAGCCACCACACCTCATCTGTTCTCGTGGATTCTCAAGGGGAGAGACTGACAGGGAATATCTGTTGAAACTTTCTGGAAGGTCATGGCCATACTTAAGGGGAAATTAAAGCAGGACATGTGGGGTCTTCAGAGTGATCTCGAACCTGAGAAAGACATGCACATTGGGTGCTGGAGTGAGAGCGTGTACACAGCTGAACACAACCTGGGGTGGGCTGAAGTCTTGGAGGCCGCTGGGGGAAAATGAGCCTGTCTGGGGGGGGGGTGTGGCTACATAGTAACTGAATGAATGAATGGGGCACCTTGGGAGTACACCAGAGCCGTTCCCCCCCACCTTCCCCCTCCCCTTCCTGCTGGGGACCAGTACCAGTCTGTGGCCTGTTAGGAACCGGGCAGTGCAGCAGGAAGAGAGCGGTGGGCAGGGAGCTCCGCCTTCTGTCAGATCAGGGGCGGCATTCCGTTTCTCATAGGAACACAAACTCTGTTGTGAACTGTGCATGCGAGGGCTGTAGGTTGCACGCTCCTTACGAGAATCTCACGCCTGATGATCCCTGTGTGCCACTCCCCCACCCCCCCATCCGTGGAAAAATTGACTTCCACAAATCCAGCCCCTGATGCCAAAAAGGTTGGGGACTGCTGGAGTTCACAGTAATTATGAATGTCTGAATGAATACTGTGGGTACACAGTAACTGAATGAATGAAGGAGACACCTTGTGGATAGTAATTGAGTGAAGGAATGAATGGGGCACCTTGTGGTTACACGGTAACTGAATGAGTGAAGTACCTATGGGCACGCAGTAACTGACTAAGGCACCTTGTGGGCACACGGTAACTGAATGAATGAATGCATGAGACACCTTGTGGGCACACTGACTGAATGAGTGACAGTCACGGAATAAACGATGTGCACTGTGACTGGAGGTCACTTTGGGAGGCTCAGAAGGCCCTGGCAGTGGCGGGGGCCTTTTGGAGGGTCGTGGAGGCTGTGGAAAGGTCCTCGCCCTTGGGGGACTCCTGGAGGTGGATGTGGTGTTGGCTGATTCCGGGGAGAGTTAGGGCGGGGCAGCCCTGGGTCTCTCTGGGATGATCGGGGGTCCCGGCTCATCCACTCCCAGGTCAGGGACTTTAGAGGGGCCGTGGGATGGTAGGGGAACTTGCAGGATCAGGACCGGCGTGTGGGGTGGGCCAGCAAGGTTCCCCAGGGGTTACTCCATGACTGGGCTCCGGGCTGTCACTGAGTCTTGCCAGGGGTTCCGGAGGGGGCGGTCAGATGACTCTGGGGGCGGCCCTGATGGGTACTCAGGTCCCAGGCGGGGCTGGGAGTCCCCTCTGACGAAGTGTCTTGGCAGGCTGTGTGTGTGTGTGAGTGAGCTGAGTTGTGACTGAGAAGGGGGCTGCTGGACCCGGGGAGCCCTGGACCGGACCCCAGCCCCTGACCCTGGATACCCTCGTCCCGCCTCCCAGCCCCAGCCCTGGAGGTCGAGTGGGGTCTGGCTCAGGATCGAGAGAAACAGGATCTACAAAGCACTCTACGCGGCTCTTTTCCCCACATCCCTGGGCCTCAGTTTCCCCATCAGTCCTGGGAGGAGCAGTCTTGTTTCTCCGCGGGGTTATCTGAAGATTCACCCTGCAGCTCTCATAGGACAGAACCAGCGGGAGCTGAATCAGAGCCAAGGCTGGGGCGTTGGGTTGGGGGTCTGAGGTGTCACTGCTAAGTCTGGAAGGCCCTGGGGTCCCCTGAGCCTGCTTGGGGATGGGGGTGGGCTCGCTCCCCTGGGACAACCGGGAGGGGCTGAGCTGGCTTTGGTCAGACCCGCCTAATTTCCAGGCTGTCTGTGCTGGGCCACCCCAGGGAAGTCGCTTTGCCTCTCTGAGGTCCCCTTGCCTCCTGTGAAAGGGGATGACAAGACTGAGCACATCGGGCCCTGGGGAGGACGAGGGTTGAAGGCTGACCCTGGGAGGTCCCTGCCTGCCAGCAACTGGGCCGTGTGGGGGGCTGCGGGGGGGAGCTTGTGTGCCCCAAGCGGTGTCAGCCTGAGCTGGCAGGCAGCCCCCACTGGGAGGCGCTGGTGAGGCTCGGGGGCTGGGCATGGAAGGGAGGCCACCCAGGGGCCCGCCAGGCCCTACCCAGAATGCCTCTGACCCCGCCACCCACCTGGCACTGGGCTCCAGGCCCAGCCCCCACCCACCCCGCTCGCGTTGGTGCCAGTGTCACGGCAGGAGATGTGGAGACGGGAAGGTTGACCAGGGTGGCCGCGTGGCGTGGGCAGCGGCAGAGCTGCCAGGTATGACGGATGGGCCTGGGCCGAGCTGTCAGCGGAGGGGCCTCGAGAGTAATGGGGTGGGGGAGTGGGGGTGTTGGCAGCCCATGAGGAAAGCGGAGCCTCTGCCAAGGAGGATGAGGCCAAGGAGCCTGGGCCCTCACAGGAGAATGGAGCCTTTGATGGGGCTGGGCCCGGGTGCCAGGGCCCGCGGGCCGCTGCGGTGGCATCTGGGCTGGTGGCATGAGGCCGGAGCAGCACCAGGGCCCGGGCCCATTCTTGCATCTGCCACATGGCTGGCCCCCTATGTGGCAGGGCCGGCCAGGTCAGCGGGCCCCCAGCAGGTGACCCCGAGGGCTGGCCAGGGTGGCCGAGTGGCGTGGGCAGCGGCAGAGCTGCCAGGTATGAGGGATGGGCCCAGGCCACTAAGCTCGAGAGTGTCCCCGAACGAGGCAGGGAGGCCTGGGGGAAGGAGAAGGAAGAGGCCTCCCCAGCTGGGGAGCGGCAGACCGGGGTTCAAATCCAGCTCTGCCACCCAGCTGCTGGGGGGCCTGGGCACCGAGGGGGCGCTGCTGGGAGCCGTCTGGGCATTGTGGAGAGTGCAGGGGTCTGAGTGGCCTGATCCCCCTGTCTCGTAGGCGTGACGACCTCCGCCTACAGCCTCGCACTCAGACCCGCGGGCACCTTCCTGGAAGGAGCGGCGCGGGCCGGGCGATACACGTTCACCGCAGGTGAGAGGCTGGGCCGGGCGCGTTCCCCTCGGCACCTGGCCAGGGGCCACGGTCCCAGCCACGGGGTGAGGCCCAGGTTCCTCTACCAGGCCTGTGTGAGGCGCAGGGGGCCAGGGCCGGGCGGGCCCCTGAGATGATGCTCAGGTGGGCGGCAGCCCGCGAGGGCGGCCTCTGTCTCGCCCAGACCGGAAGCTTCTGCCCCCTGCTCCCCCTGCCCGGGCCCTCTGGCCCCGCCTCAGGCCCATCCCTCCCGCCTGCCCGCAGCCGCCGTCGGGGCCGTGTTTGGCCTCGCCTCCTGCATCAGCGCCCAGGTCCGCCAGAAGCCCGACGACCCCCTGAACTACTTCATCGGCGGCTGTGCCGGAGGCCTGACCCTGGGAGCGCGTGGTGAGTGGCTCCCTCCCACGTGGGCAGCATGACCCCTGACCTCTGCTGCCTTGCCTCCCTTTCTGCTCCATCTGGACGAGGAGCCCAGCAGGGGCCAGGGCCACAGAACGCTGTCCTCTAACAGCAGCCGGTCCATAGTGACAGCTGCTGCTGCTTAAGCCCCGACTGCATGCTCTTCCGCCAGGATGGGCCCTCAGCCTCCGAGCCGGCGGGAGGAGGAGGGAGGCCTCCTGCAGGTCCCCCGCACTGGACGGGCCCGACGGCAGCGCCAGTGGCAGAGAGGGAGGGACCGAGAAGGGCCACGCCACTGCTGTGCCAGCGCTGCTGCCCTCGCGTCAAGACCTTGGGGGCACTCCTTCCTCTCCCTGGTCGACTCTCACCCGGATCCGGGCGGTTGAGGCCGGGGCTTGACGCACAGCCCAGCTCTGGCTGACCGGCCCCTGCCCAGCCTGCCTTCTTGTCCCAAAGAGGCTCCAATGGGGGGACCCACCTCCTTCCTCATGTGTCCCTAGGGCCTCGGGGCAGGAAGGACCAGGCAGGATCCTGGTGCCCGTGTCTGCAGCCTGGCACCCAGCCTTTCCCCTTCCTGGAGCAGGGGGCAACTCTGTCCCTCTCGCCCGGGGTAGTAGGTGTGGGGCTGTGAGGACCCAACAGCCTGGATTCCTGCTGCCAGGGGACCTGGCCTCCTCCCTCCATGCCTCAGTTTCCCCATCTCCAGCATCTAGCACCCCCCGCCTGAGTCACTTAATCCCTGTAGGGGAGGTCCGGTCGGGAATCTCAGTCTGGCTCCCAGGTGGGCTCAGGCCTGACGCCGCCCCTCCTCCCACAGTGCACAGCCCTGGGGTCGGCGCCACTGCCTGCGTGTACATGGGCGCCATGGCTGCCCTGCTCAAGATCGGCCGATTGGAGGGCTGGGAGGTATTTCCGGAACCCAAAGTGTGAGCCCACACCCGCCAGGACCTCGGGCAGGTGGAAGTGCACCTAGAAATAAATCCTGTGTATATGTGTGTGTGGGAGTCTCAGAGGGCTCGGTGGCAGGGACGTGCCAGCCAGCGGAGGCGACTCAGGGTGGATCTGGGAGGGAGTGAAGAAAGGAGATAAGATAGGGCCCCACACACGCCGGCCTGCCGCCTGCCCCCCAGCCAAGGGCACAGCCAGGCCCCGCAGAGCCAAGAGTGTCAGGTCAGGGCCAGCGGAGCCCAGCCACGGGGGCCTGGCCAGATGCACCCGGTCAGCGCGCCGCTGTCACAGGTCCCAGGCCGGGCGGGAGCCTGCAAGTGGCCCATCTGTGAGTGGAAACGAGGCCTGGCTGCTGCAGCCCTGTCCACGAGCCCCCTTGCAGGTCACGGGCCATCCCCTCTGGGCCTGTCCCCAAAGCCAACAGCATGTGGAAGACACACCCAGGCCTCGGCTCCAAGTTCCTGGGCGTGGGAGCAGAGAACCCCGGACAGCCTGGCCCCGCAGCCATTCCCACCCACAGGTCACTCGGAGCCCCTGGGACTGGGGTGGAATGGGACAGGACCGCTTGGCACCGGGGAGAGGATTGCGAAGTGTGCCCGGCGCCCGTCATGCCGGTGGTGGAGGCGCCCAGAATGCTGGCGCGGCCCCAGGCTCTTTCCCCAGAACTGGCTCTTACCTCCCACCGCTGGAGAAGAGGCTAGCAAGCTCCAACATGCCGGGCGGGCCGTAAATGAGGGCGCCTGGGCCCCAGCGGGGAGCACAGCTATGCCTGGCCCTGCTGGCGGCTGGGACAGCAGGAACCCTTGGAGTGGTCATGACCCCCTCGGCCCCTCCTCACCTGTCTCCCTTATCCCCTTTTCTCCAGCCCACCCACGGGGCCTAGATGTGGTGGAAAGCCAGGCGACGCTTATAGCCTGCTTCCCTCTCCATCCAGGTGGTCACTCGGCCAGTCGTTGGGCGGCTGAACTTGGATGTGAGCAGAGCCCAGAGCACCAGCCATGCCACAGCCGGGGCCTGCTATGTTTTTCTTGCCCTTGTCCAGAGATTCCAGGTCCCCTCCAGCCCCTCCTCTCCCCCGCCACCCTGCAGACCCCCTCCACGCCTTACGGTGACACCCACCCCCTCCCTTGAGTGTCCTTCCAGGGTGGACACACATCCACAAGTGTTTGGGCCAGGGGAGCCAGGTGCTGGCTCGGGCACATGTCTAGGGCTGGATGTCTGAACCTGGACTTGGAGCTTCCTGAGAAAGGAGACCCCTGCCAGGGGATAGGAGAGGAGAGAGCCCAGAAACCCTCCAAAGCCAGAACAGCCCTCCTTAAAGGCTTTGGATTCAAATCTCAGCACTTTGATGCTCTCCTGGCTCTGTGTCCTCAAATGACATCAGCGCCAAAACCTCAGCTTTTCCACCTGGCAGATGGGAATAATGGCCCCCCCCATGCTCCCTGAAGAAGAAAGAATTTATTGGCCCGGTTTGGTGACTCATGCCCATAATCCCAGGGCTTTGGGAAGCTGAAGCGAGAGGATCACATGAGACAAGAAGGAGTTTGGGACCAGCCTGGGCAACGTAGTGAGACCTCATCTCTACCAAAAAAAAAACCATTTACTCCCTGCAGATGCCTTTTCACTCTGAGGTTCCTGCACGAGCCTCGTCTGTCTGCACAGTGGCCGGCAGGGGGCAGAGCCCACCACGGCTCAGGAGGTGGGCAGCTGCCCCTTCCTCCTCCACATTCCGTCCTGTCTGTCTTCTCACCTCTTTTTCTTCCCATCCATCCTGCCCAAGGCAGCCGGGGGTGACCGTCTCCAAGAGTGGGTAGCACAGCCCGTGATGCAAGCCCTTCCCCAGCCCCCAGGCTCTCACGACGCCCAGACCCTCAGCAGACCTCATTTTCAGACGCACGAAGCGAGGTCCACCCCCAGCCTCAGTTTCCCCCCCGCATTGGGAGCATCCGGCAGCTCAGACCCGGGACTTGATTGCCGCCCACCCAGCCCATTCTGGGCCCGCTGCCAGTGTTGGAGCAAGCCTGCCAGGCCCCCCAGAATGGGGCAGGAGGGGAGGCCGCCTGCTGGGCTCCAGGGAGCCCCAAAACCCAGGCCCCCTTGCCCATAAACATTTACTAGGCTGTGAGGGGTGACGTCACTCCCGCCCCACATGTGGGCCCCTGACCAGAACGTCTGCCCTGGCAGCCCTGCTGTGGGGCACTGGAGGACCCTTCTGGAGTTTACCCCCGCAGTCAGGACTGGAACAGATAAGTACAGGGCCTCCCTGGCGGGCAGGGAGGGCTTCCTGGAGGAGGAGGAAGACCAAGGATGAAGAGGTTTTTTACCAGGTGTGCCCAAGGGAGAAGGGCATCCCAGGCAGAGGACGTAGCGAGAGCAAAGGCTGGATATGGGGGTGAGGGCAGAGCTGTGAGCAACTAGGGGGCTCCTGCCCCGCCCAGGACAGGTGCCTGGAGGCTGTGGCGTCCACACTCCACAAGAACCCAGCCCTGGAGACACGATCCTCATGGGGACAAGTCTGCAGGAATGCTGTCATGGGCAGGGCCTGGCCCAGCCCCTCCAGGCCCTGCCAGGGTCTCTAAGCTCCTGGTGAGCCAAGAAAATGGTAGGAAGACAGAAGTGGGGGTAGGGGACCCTCGAGCCTTTCCCCCACAGCCCGGCAGGCCCAGCTATTGCAATTATCGTCGGCTCACTTAACCCTGGCCAGCCCTGCGTGATCCTGGCGGTGCCTTAGGCCTGTTTTACAGGATGAGGAAACAGGGCCCCAGGGAGGTGACTTTCCAGCGCGTGGCACACGGCAGACACTGAATGAAGCATTCCTCCTTTTACTATTACTAGCTATTGTTTGGAAACAACGCGTAAGTTGTTATTTGAAAGGCGGAGCTTCCAGTCAGTCTCAGTGATTGGAATAAAATCCACCCAATAGCCGTGATCTCACTGCCAGGTGGTCCCAAGAGCTGAATTATACTCCACAGGTGCCTTTAAGAAGATATACTGGGGCTGGGCCCAGTGACTCATGCCTGGGATCCCAGTACTTTAGGAGGCCGAGGAGGGAGGATCACTTGAACCCAGAAGTTTGAGACCAGCCTAGGCAACATAGCAAGACCTCACCTCTACAAAAATTCAAAAAATCAGCCAGGCCTGGTGGTGCACACCTGTGGTCCTAACTACTTGGGAGGATCACCTGAGCCCAGGAGGTCAACACTGCAGTGAGCTGTGATCGTGCCACTGCACTCCAGCCTGGGCGACAGAGTGAGACTCTGACTCACCAAAAAAAGTCATGTTGGAGACAGGCGCAGAGGCTCATGCCTGTCATCCCAGCACTTTGGGAGGCCAAAGCAGGAGGATTGCTTGAGGCCAGGAGTTCAAGACCAGCCTGGTCAACATAGTGAGACCTCATCTCTACAAAATAAAATTTTTAAAAATGTTAAGAAGTCATGTTGAGCCGGGCTCGGTGGCTCAGCCTATAATCCCGCTCTTGGGGAGGCTGAGGTGAGTGGATTGCCTGAGCCTACGGGTTCGAGACCCGCCCGGGCAACTTGGCGAGCCCTCATCTCTACAATAAATTTAAAAAATCAGCCGGGTGTGGTAGCACGCGCCTGTAGTTCCAGCTACTCGGAAGGCTGAGGCGGAAGGATCGCCGGAGCCCAGCATGTCAAGGCTGCGGTGGCCAGGAGCGACCACTGCACTCCGGTCTGGGCGACAGAGTGAGACTCCAACTCAAAAAAAAAAATCATGTTGAATGTGGGCTGCTGGTTCCTACAGATGCCCTCTCCACCCCTACCTCCATTTGGCTTCCAGAATCTGTCCTGGATTGACCCCTGGCCCCATTCCATCATCTGTCACCTGAAACAGTGTACTCCCTCCCCAACCCTGGTTCCTGGTTCCCACTCTTGCCCCCTCCCCCACGGTCTGCCCACCCCACAGCAGTGAGAGGGTGCCTCCCTTCTCTGCCCACAGCCCTCCCTGGCTCCCACCTCCTTCGGGGCCAAAGCCCCAGCCCTCCCTGTGGCCCAACAAGCCCTGAAAGACCCACCCCATACCCTCTCCTCCTCTCTCCCCACCTTTCTATTCCTCCAACACACCAGGCTCCGTCCTGCTTCGGGGCTTTTGTAGTGGCTGTTCCCTCTGCCTGGAACAGCCTTCCCCAAGATGTTCCCAGAGCTCACCTCTGTCACTTCTCAGCTTACCTGTCACTTCCCCATCCTCCTTGAGGTGTGTGCACACTTCAGGATGTGCACATGACAACGAGTTCCCTAGCAACGCCGTTCTCAGGATGTGTCCCCGTCGTTAACCATCCCCCGACGGTATCTCCCAAGCACCTGCGTGTGCCAGGTAAAGTCAGAGCCACATCAGCAAATGAGACCGCCGCCTTCCTGGGACGCCAAGTCTGGACTGGGAGAAGTGGTCAGATGAGCAGACGGGTACCAGACAGGTGTCCCCCAAAGCTGGGCTCGAGAGGATGCTGAGGCCACAGGCAGGCAGGGCAGGCGGGGTTGAGGGAGCCGGGTGCACCCCCGGAACAGGTGGAGACCAATGTGGCCGGACACAGTGACGGCGAAGGGGGAGAGGAGTCGAGTCGGGGCATGTGTCCCAGGTGGAAGGGACAGGGCAGGGGTCAGGGCAGGCAAGGTGTGGCTCCTGCTGGAGCAGGCGATTCTGGGAGAAACGTCTCACTTTCCAAGACCCTGGGGAGCAGCCCTCACCCACCTTCTCCGAGGGCTGCTCAAGAAGGGAGCCGCACCGGGCATGGTGGCTCTCCCCTGTCATTCCAGCACTTTGGGAGGTCGAGGTGGGAAACTTGCTCGAGGCCAGGACTTCAAGACCAGCCTGGGCACTATCACAAGACCTCATCTCTACAGAGAGTTTTAAAAATCAGCTTGGCGTGGTGACACATGCCTGGCGTCCCAGCTACTCGAGAGGCTGAGGCAGGAGGATCGCCAGAGGCCAGGAGGTGGAGGCTGGGGTGAGCCGTGATGGTGCCCCTGCACTCCAGCCTGGGCGACAGAGCAAGACTCTGTCCCTAAAAAAAGGGGGGAATTGTGTCCCTGA